TTATAAACTGCAAAATTAATATTTTATATATAATTAAACTATTAAGAAAAATAAATATATATATATATATATATATATATATATATATATTTATTTAATAAGAATATGTATATCATGCGATCATTCATTTAATAGAATATATTGTGGTTATCGGCATCATACACTTGTTCTTAAGGTTTTTTTCAACTTGGTAGCAGATCATATATCTCTTATTATTTTTAGACTTTATGTCACGCTTATCTTTTGGTCTATGTCTTCGATTCTCCCTGGAAACAAAAACACATTTGTTTGGGAAGTCTGTCAGTTGGACCTTGGCCCAATTGGTTTACCTGGTAGCCAGAAATGCAGGCGGCCTGACTACCCCCTGAAACTTAGTCGGAAGGCATTCCAAACTCGAGATAGGCAGAGTGGTAGCCCGTAAGGGCCTAACCGTTAACACGGTGGACCAGTCCACTATGTAGCACCTCGGTGCGTTCCTACCGGGGCCGACCGGATAGCCGATAGGGTTTATCAAAAAAAAAAAAAAATCTTTTGGTCTATGTCGATGATATTGCTATCACGGGTAATTTTCTACAACAAGTTCATGATTTATTGATCTCCTATGCTCGTTTCTCCTTTAAGGATCTAGATAATTGGATATACTTTCTTGGAGTCGAGTTCTCTCGCACTTCAACTTCATGGAAAATCCTTATGAGTATTGGATGGTTCTTGGATGCTTACAATACTTTATGTTTACTAGGCCTGATAACTACATTGCTGTCAACAAAGTATCCTAACAAATCCATCAATCAACGAAAGAACAATAGTTGGCCCTCCAAAAGAATTTTGTGCTACTTGTGTGGAATTAGACCTCTCTCACATCCAGTGGCCGTTCATGCTTCCTCGGATGTGAATTATCAAATAAACAGATTCTGGGTACAATGGATATTTTATCTTTCTGGTGAACTTGGCATCACACAAAGAAATCTCCGATTATAAACTATGTTAACATTGTCGCAATCTATGTTCGAATCCAATTTTTCATCTTCCAATGAACCATGTTGTCGTTGGTTATTATTTTATGAGAGGTAATTGTGTGACGTGGTTTATGTCTTTACAAAAGATCAGCTTGCTGATGCTTTAACCAAGTCGCAGAGGCAGCTAGGGCCAAGTTCATTCCTATTTATAGTTACAATATTAAATTGTATTAGCCAAGTCCATCTTTGAGAAATAACCTATATTGAAATCATTAGATTATTATGTTGACTTGTTCTAATACACTAATTAATCACGTATCCTATGTAAATGTAACATCGGTGTATTTATGCTTGGGATTTTTTGATCATGAATATACGAGACACTCATCTTCTTACAAACAGTAAATATTTTTTAGTACAAAACATTAGTAAATTAATTTCTAAACATATCTATTCACAATTTAAAAATATTTTCAACAATGTTTCCAGTTTTAAAATATGTGATTCTAATGTTCCCAGTTCTTAAAATTTGTTGGAAACCAAATCAAACAACAGAGTACAGTTAAACCTCTATAAATTAATAATGTTGGGACCATGATATTTTATTAATTTATAGTGATATTAATTTATCTATAAATTAATATTTATTAATTTATAGTGTAAATTAATATTTATTAATTTATAGAAAGTTTTGTTTTCATTGTTGTATTTTTTAAAAAAAAATATGAGGAAAACAATGTGATTGAAATAAAATTAATGTTTTGGATGTTATAAATTTTATAGTTTTAGACTTAAACATTTAATATTTCGATATTTATAAATAATGACATCAATAGTTGTATTTGAAAAACCTATACGATTATTAAAACAAAAATGATGCATATTCTAAAATTTGAAAACTTAAAGTAAATTTTGGCTATTTTTATGGGAACCCCTAATATATATATATATTTAAAAATTTAAATGATTATTAATTTATGATATTATTGGAACCATATTTTTCTATAGGGATTTCAAAAAAAGTATTATTTTATTATCTTATCGAATTTAGTTAATTTTTACATTGGCCTGACTGAGAATCAACAAAATTTATTAATTTATCGTGTTTATTAATTTATCGAATATTAATTTATAGAGGTTCTACTGTATACAACTTTTGTCTGTCTCGGATCAGTCGTTCTCCAAAGCTTTCAATGGGTAATCTCGAGTGCCCCATAGAAGGGCCCATAAGGCCATAACTATATAGGCTTTTACAATTAGCTCCTCATACATTTATATGTTACATTTTGAACCCTTTTTTTTAGTTTTCGGGACTGTTCTTACAAAACTATCTATTGGTGAGAAAAGTATTTGAGCAAAATCAGTAATTAAAGAAAACGTTAAGAAGAAAACATAAATTGGATGAGTTGGTTAAGGGAACATTGAAAGCAACAATTCATATCAATAAAAATCTGAAAATTTTCAACATTGTAATTCATTTAACGTAGGATTACAAAAGTCCCAGTTTGTCTCCCATATTTAGTCATCGTTCATGATGGTTGTATGCAGTGGCGGAGCTAGAACGAATTTTTATTGGGGTCAAAATTATAAAAACAAAAATAAACACTAAAAATATATTTCGTAAGCGACTATTTTTATAATTAAAAGCCTAAATTTACAAAGATTTACATGGTTTGAATGACTGTTTTTTATGAGTTTGGGTTCAATTTAGAAAAATCAAGTATATTTTAGCTAGAGAATATAGGTTTTGAGTTTTGTTTTTAAGTAAAGCTTATGTTTAAGTTAGATTTAAAAGGGTCAGAGTAAAATTTTCAATGGGGTCAATCTTACAATTTTTCAAAAAACATTAAAGGTATTTAAATTTTGTTGGGGTCAGTTGACCCCCCTCCATTGCACATGCCTCCGCCCCTGGTTGTATGCGAATAGTTGGATGAACAACTAATTATTACATTTAGTTTGTTTCCAACGAGCCATATGTCAATGTTTGTTACGCTTCAATATTATTTTTATTTTCTTAAATGTTACTTTCGAATGAGTTGTTATATATAATCATCTACCATTTCTCGTTTTTTTCCTTAAATTCTAAATTTTTGAACATTTTGTCTCTATATAACTTTTTAAGACAGAAATTAACCGGAAATAATATTGTATCTAAGGTATAAACTACCGTTTCCAAGTCTGATCGAACATTCTCAAAATCGTTAGATCAACAACTAGTTGAATGCATATAGTCTTTTGAAACAAAACAAACAGATACTAAATCAAAAGCATATCATCTTTGTAATTTTATTTAGTTATGTCGCTATCTATATGAATGATTTTCAGATAAGCTAGTCATATGCGAAAGATTTATAAAATGTAATATGTTGATCATGAAATTGATAAAAGTAAGAACATAAAATGATTTTTAAAAGAAATTATTATTAAACTCTCATAAAAAATAAAACTATGAAATATATCACTATATATATAATGTTTTTTAAAACATTAATGGAACTAAGGATGAATATCAAATACTTCAGCTGGTTATTTTATGCACATACATTTTGCTATTTATTGGACGATACAAAATCATACTTATACATTTTAGTATTTATTAGACGACCTGAAAATCAAAGTCATTGTCGACCGTTGTAATGAAGTTAATGACGCATACTATGCCTCTGAATATTGGACTATAATTTTTTTTAATAGGAACAATATACATCATAATCTACAATTTTCGGAAATTTTGATTCTCAACAACAGTCGCTTGCCCTTTTTGTAAATCATCTGATGGAACTCTTTAGAATAACAAAAATCAACAAGAAATCTGAGAAATATGTAATAAAATTTCTTCATCCGTAGTCTCTGTCTCCATAATTTTCTACCAACAAAATAAATCTCTTTAATTGATTACTAGGCACATGAACAAAATACACCAATATCATTTCAATAAGAATTGATTGTTGGAGACGTTAACTGGGTCTTATATACGTCAAGCCCAAATTTAGTAATCAGCCCATTAGTTTGTGAAAAGATTAATAGCGCCTAAACAAATATTTAGGAAACAATATTCTTCCACGATCTATCCCATAACCCAACTAAATCATAAACAACACGCGTTGAGGTATTCAAGCATGAACTTGAACATGGAACTCAAAAGTCAAATCTTCAACTCTTTGTTCATTGAACATGAGTTTGTGATCCTCTCAAGTTTCCCAAATTGAGAAGTTTTGATTTGCATCAACACTCGCTTAGCCCTTTTGTAAATTTATCTCTCTCTCTCTCGGGGTCTCTTTTAAGATTTCCATTGTTTATTGTAGGCTTTAGTCTTTCTTAAGAAGTACCTTTGTTCTAAAAAATTCATAGAGGCTATATATAATGCAATCCGGCCAACAATTACAAACCATATCCCAGCTATTTAATGCATCACCATATCATAAAATTGGATCACCAGACACCAGCTCGATCTTTAATATAAATGTCGATTGATAAAATGCAATAATAAATTAAACTTTTCGTTCACTAGCTCGATCTCTAAATTATTAAACATATGTGATTTGAATTTATACATATTTTTCATATATAAGTATAACTTACACACGCACGGCACAGTCACACTATCAAATTATGGATTCAGATTATGACACGGATATTAAAATCAATCACTATACCAAGTGATGATGATCGCACAACATCATCACAACTCAGTACCGACTACAAGTCATAGTTGTGATTAAATAATGACTGGATAAAATTTAGTAAACGATTAAAATAAATATACACGATAATTTTTCTCATCATGATTAGTGTGTTTGGCGTATCATTATCTTCTAAAGGATGATGGACCAACTATTCACATTAATAACGTGGTCGGGGGTTAGTTTACCAATTCAAGAAAATACATTTCTATGAACCAATAATGCTCTTTTTATTATATTTTAAATGCTCATTAAATAGTGTAGGTTGAAAAAAAAAAAAAAAAAAAAGAAGTTTCTATCATGGACTATCAAATGATTAAAAGAAACTGTAGAAACCATATTTTTAAGCCTCACCTTCTCTATATAAACCAAGGCGACAACAAGTGTTATTTCATCAACCAAAACAAAACAAAACAAAAAATACAAGTGGAAGCTTTTAAACAAAAGAGAGAAAGAAATGGCGACGTCGGGAACATACGTGACGGAGGTACCGTTAAAAGGAACGGCAGAGAAGCACTTCAAGAGGTGGAGGAACGAGAACCATCTCTTCCCTGATGCCGTCGGCCACCACATCCAAGGTGTTACTGTTCACGATGGCGAATGGGACACTCACGGAGGCATCAAGATTTGGAACTACACATTGGGAGGTATACGTTTATTTATATATTAATATGTTATAGACAAATATTTTAATAAGAACTCTGACTAATGGCATGTTGGAAATGTATTGCATCATTACATATGAATATGACATTAATTGAATTTACATGTGTGTAAAGATGGAACGCAGGAGGTATTCAAGGAGAGGAGAGAGATGGACGACGAGAGTAACACAATGAAGGTTGTAGGACTGGAAGGTCACGTGATGGAGCAGTTCAAAGTGTATGAGGTCGATTTCCAATTTATTCCCAAGTCTGAAGATGATTGCGTCTGCAAAATCACTATGATATGGGAGAAGCGCAACGATGATTTCCCCGAACCAAGCAGCTACATGCAACTCCTCAAGAGCATGGTTGTTGACATGGAGGACCACGTCCTTAAAGCTTAATGTTGAACATCATCATCATCATCACAATCCCAATCACCATCATCCCTATATGTCTATTAAGTTGTTTTCAATTATACCTACTCTATATATAGTGTTTCGTTCCTGAATATACACTATATATATATATATATATACCGTGTGCTTTTTAATTCAATGTATAAGAAAATGAGGTCTTGTGGAGTTTCATGTATGTAGCAATTAGCATCACCATAATTCCTTTAGATGTTGAAATCTTTTCCAACCAAAATACACTTGGAGAATAAATTTTAGGGTAATTCAAAGCTTAACAATTGAATAAAACTGAAATATTCTGAACCTGAAATAAAACTATGACCTTTTTTACCTTACAAATTACTCCGATATTTAATTTCGGATAACGAAAGAAAAATCACTCCGATATAAAGCCATAGAGATTTCTTTAAAACAAAGTTCCACATTTACCTATGTAAATTTTTCTTTTTATCGTTCTCATTTCTCCATCAGATCTTAACACAATTCTTCCAGCAAATCCTAAATTTCATTTACAGATGCGGTGATTATGCATTTTTCTATTCTCGGATTTGATTATTCTCAATTTCTCATAAAAATTTCATACGAAGCGGCTAGATTTTTAATGATTTTTTGGACGATATTAAAGGTTAGTATGTAGTACATTAAAACTCTCTTCATTTTAATTTATTTGTTTCATTCCTCGGTAAAGTTTACTTCTGAGTTTTGATGCAATATTTTGAGCAATACTTGGGTTTACTCGGATAAATCTTTTTATCCATCTCTTTTGGTTTAACCAATCAGAATTCACCACATAATAACAAAAATTAAACTCATTTAGTTATTAAATCTAATCCCTAACCACTCTTTTATAAAACCAAAACAATATGTAAACTCGTTTAATTACAAAATCTAAACAATAATTCTCCTTTGTAAACCCAAACCGACATTTAAACTCGTTTAATCGTAAAAAGTCTAAACCTTAATCGTACTTTCTAAACCCAAACCGATATTTAATCTCGTTTAATTGTAAAATCTAAACCCATTTATTAACCCAAACCGAGATTTAACCTCTATATTTAACCTCGTTCGATTTAGTGAAATTAGATTTTATAATTAAATAAAATTTTATTATAATTATTAAATAGCATATTTTGATTAGCTCAAATTAAAGGGGTGAATTAAAGTGGTGAACCTATGTATTTTTCCAATATTTTTATTTTTTATGAATGATGGACTTCAAATAACATCGTAATTTTTTTTAACGGTTGTCTTGCCTTGTCCTATCTCATTGATTTCATTGCATAAACAATGGGCCTTATATTAGTAAAGCCCAAATTTAGGAATCAGTCCATACTTCAAGAAAGATATTAATAGCGCCACCTGTCAAGAGTTTACACGACATAATAAAACAGCTCCACCTCGTGGCAGGACCCACTTAAACTTCCCAGAAAAACCGTTATTCTTCTATGACTACTATACCCTCCTTTTTGTCACAGCTTAGCCCGTAATGTGAAGGGCATAACAGTAATTTAGCCAGGTTTGATTCTCCGATCTGCTTTTTTCGTTTAGACCATGCCCAGCGGTGATATATTGTGAGTATCATAAGCCCAGAAAATATTAATTAATGGACCAAACAACTTTTTTGGGCCTGAGCCGTATCAGTGGACTGATACTTCTGATACTGGGTATCAGTCGACGTGGCACGTGCTGATTGGTGCTGCAAACGCGTTTTTGGCTAAAGGCAGAGAAAAAAAAAAAAATTCTCACCTCTCTCTACCGAGAAAACCTAGAACTTCTCTGGCGATTTCGATTTTCCCTCTCCTCCGCCGATTCTTCCTTCCCGATCTTGCCTTCGGTCCCTCTGCAGACGAGATACCCGACGAGCTATGGAGAAAGATCATCGGTGGCTTTGAAGGTTTGGCAGCCGGATTGTGGTACCATTATTGGCTCTCTCAGGCAAGCATCGGTGGCAAGCATCGGTGGCTTTGAAGGTTTTGAAGGTTTACTTGAGATTTTTTTTGATTGATTATTTACTTGAGATTTGTTGTTTTGTCAATGTGAGTTACTCAAGCTCTATGGATGTGGTTGATATAGGTTTGAGAGGGAGAAGGAGAGGAAAGTAGCTGCATATAGAAGAGCTTTACTCAGGAAGGAGAGTGAAATTTATGAATGGGGCCGGAGGATTCGTGAATTGGAGGCTCGATTGTCGGACGAGGCTGAGAGATTACAGTCTTCTTCTCTGCAATTTTCAGATTTGCTCAAAGTGAGGTAGTCCCTAATGTCGAGCTCATCTAGTCAGATTCCATAAAGTTTTGTTTTTATATGGCTGCGAGTAGCAATTGTACTTTGATCCATGCATTGTTGTTTCTAGATAATTCTAACTCTATAAAGGAGATTGCTTGTTCAGTTGTGACAGTTTGAAAATATGATTCTTTGTTTAATTAAATGAGGATTGATCCTACTGTTCTTTAACTCATTCATTCTTCTGATCTAAATTATTATTGGCTCTCTCAGGCAAGCATCGATGGCTTTGAAGGTTTGGCAGCCGGATTGTGGTACCATTATTTGCATCCATTTGTAACAAATAAGATTTATGTTGGTATTATTTGGTTTTAATATTTTGGAAACACTTGTTTTGGCAACAATATCATTTGGAGAAAGAAGTATATTTATTTTTGATTTTGCAATTTTTTTTTTTTATGATACTTAAACCGGTCTCACCAATGCAAACATATTTAGTAAGAGTATCATCACAAATCTCAAACAATAAACAAACATTATAAATAATACTAAAAAATTCCTAATGATACTATGAGTATCACCTATAACCATGCTCTTACCCTTCGTTAAAACCTTTCACTTGAATTTTTATATGATCATTTCGATTTAAGGATCTGATTTTGGTTTAGGGTTTTAGGATCTGATGATGCTTAATTTCTTGATTGTGGCAGGATTCTGGTAAAATTTTAAGTATCTCTAGGCTTTGTTGTGTTCTTCGTGGTGTATATATGAAGAATTATGTGTTCTTGTTAGTGATTGTTCCAACATTTGTGCTTGCTGTTATCTTCACGGTCAGAAAATTTCTTACTTTCCCCGGCCACTATGGGAATCCGAATCACCACCATTCCACCAAAGCTATTCCTCATTATTATCATGAGAATGCTTCTATGGAGACTTTATGTAAACTCCATGGATGGGGTTTCGTGAATATCCTAGACGGACGGGTTTATGACCCGGTTTTGTTTAGTAATGAGCTTGAGCTTCTTGCCATACGTTGGAGAGAGTTGTATCCTTACGTTACGCAGTGTGTGATACTTGAATCAACTCGACGTTTACAGGGTTGCCTAAGCCTCTTGTATTTGCAGAGCATAGGAATGTTTGGATTTGTAGAGCCGCGGTAGAGTTATATATGGTTCGGTTGGTGGAAGGTTTAAGAAATGAGAAAGTCCGTTTTACGAATAGTGGCTTTAAAATCAGTTTTTGAGGATTGCGGGTATTACTGATGATGATTTGTTGATAATGTTTGATGTTGATGAGATTCCACGTAGATACACTGTGAATCTTTTAAGATGGTGCGATGAGATTCCGCAAAGCTTCCGTGCTCATTACCGACAATCTGATGATATCTTGGCGGATTCAGGATGGCATTGCAACTTTTGTTACAGTCGTTATGATAGACTGAGGTTTGGCCATTTCTTGAATCCTAAAAGAGTTCAGAGAGTTATATGGAAAGGTGGTGATCTTTTCTATATGCTTCTTGAAGAGTATACATTCAAGGAGATAATCCGGAACTGGGTCCTATCGCTCATTCTTTCTCGGCTGTTCATCTTCCTTTGTATCTTTTGGACAATGCTTGTCTCTCTTAAATCCTTCCCAGGAAGAGCCAGATTAGTATCTACAATTGTATATATAGAAATCTGAAAAATAAATGAAGAGTTTGAAAAGAACTTTATTAACTGTTTCAATACTGTAACTGTTTCTAGAACAGAGCTATATTGTTCTTTCAAAGAATGTGTAGTGTGTATGTATACTTATGTGCTCGTTTGTTATTCAGTTCCTCTATTCTTTTTGTTTAAGTAAGTGTAGCGTTTGAAGAGGCAGATGCAATTTCTTTCCGATACTTCTGCTCTGATCGGGTCATTCTTTTCTGAAACATTGTCCACTCCCGTTTACATCTCTCTCTTACCTGTCCAAAACATGTATAGAAATCAGTAATTAGCAATAGAATCGGTCTAAAACCCGATAAATTCAAGAACCTTATAAGTGTATAACGCAAGAATATAGTTGGGTTGAGTTATTACCCCTTGGAACGCGGTTTTCCCTTCCTGCGCAGTTCCCTGAATCAATGTATTTTACGAGATCATCTCATCGTTAAAACTATGAACAAAGAACCTAGTAAATAATGTAGAAAGATAAAGTTTGATCATGTAATAACCTGGCTGCCTAAAGAAGGAATTTTTTGATGAATGATCCATTGAGAATCCACAACACCAATCTTCTCATGTGCAGGCTGTTTTATTGTATCATGAATGTTTTTTTCTTAGTTTCGAAAATGTTTTGTGGAGTTATACGTGTTTGTGAATAAGTTGTATTTGTATCCTAACCTCGACACATTTTCTTAGCGCAAAGTCAAGACCCCAACCATGAACCAAGTCATTCTGTATCATATGCCACACACAGCGCCATGAATCTCTTGAGAAAACTGGAGCCATAATCTCTATAAACCTGATAAGAAACCGCGCAGAACTTATGAGATCAAGAAAGTTAGAATACTTCTCTATTGGTTTTGACAAATGAGATACATACCCTGCACAAGGAGGTAGGTGAGGGTCATTACAGCGGCCTGGTTTCTCTTCGACTTCTCTGGTGAAAGAATTTGGCAAGAGTTACTATTTTTTCCTTTACTTTAAACCTTGGCATTGACATTTTGTATTAATAGTTAATTGTTTTACTTGTGAACTTCGATTCCGGGTATTCTCTTTGTTATCTTCCAAGTGATTGATTTTCTTGATTCCACAGCGGGTTGCGATATTTCTAGACCATGCTTCTTCACAATCTTGATGTACCTGCAATGATGTAGAAAACATTTTATAACATTTTCTGATTAAAATTCTTGGAGATAGATAATATAATCAAAAGAAGCAGATTACTCACTCTTCTGCGTCGAAGTTTTCAACACCAAGATCTTCATCCCAAATGAATATATATTCATACGGTGCTATGATATCTGGATGTAGAAACCTTTTAGCATACCACCTTCAATGGAAACATTTTCAAAAGGTTTTACTTAAAGCTTGGGATCGATGGAAACAGAGAAACAAGTAAGAAAAGTGTTTGTTTTGTTACCACTTGGTTTGCTTAGGTACACTCACGTGTATCGCCCGTTTAGACCATTCGAATTCATCATATTCCGAGGTTTTGCCATCGTAATGAAACAGAACTATAGTGAAGTTATCTGAGAACTATTGAGAGAGCAAAATATCTCCGCTTAATAAGAGTGAAAGATTAGAAGCAAATGTGAAAGAGAGAGAGACATACTTTCTTGATGCAAGCATCGATGTTTTTTCGCTGTTCATAAGAAACAGTAAAAGCAACTAGATACTTAGGCTTCACCACTGGTAAATCCTAAAGAAACCAAAAAACATGATTCAGAGACTAAGTCAAAGATTAATGTTTGAAAGATCATAAAAAACCAGGAGAAGTTATACATCTTTAGGAAATCCCCACAATCTTCGTAAGTAAAAATCTGATTCGGTTGCAACAAAACTTGGAGGTAACATCTCTGCACCTCGAGGATTCGATGGAACCCAAATCTGTAGAATATCCAAACAAACATTGTAAACTAATCCACAAGATTGAGTCATGTTCACAAGGGAGAAACAAAAACATGCCTTATGATGATGTGCTGCATCACCAAACTCATTTTGTGAACTCGTCTTAGATGATTTCTCCGGTTTCTCGTTTTCTATGTAAATAGTAGCAACAGAAGGAAGTATGCTTGATGGAAAATTCATCTGAAAAAACATAAACACATCTTTGGAAAACCACACCAAAACATTAATTCTTGAAAGAAAGTAAAATTTTAAAAGCTTACCTTAGTTAGTGACAATGTAGGAAAAGATATTCCTAACAAAAATCCGATAACTATTCCCGCAAAAATTGATATTACGAGCATCATACCGTCATTCGGTTTTTTACTATTTGAACTGCACCAAAAAAACAGAACACTATGAATCATTAATCATCGTATCTTTCATAATGAACTCAAAGATTCAATAATCTAATAAAACTCATAAAAGTCACAAACCAACGTATTGAGTTGTCTGCTCTGTTTGCCATGTTCTGAAATTGGTTTAGTTGACCAGAAACAATATCATTCAGTCTCCGAGACTTCACTATCTGTATCATGTCAAAAAAAATTCAGATCAAATTATCATATGATTTCATAAGTGAAAAGAAAAGATACAATATCAAGAAAATTTGGCTTGTTAATTAGGAGTGAAACTACTGATTTTTTCTTACACGGTACGGTATGAAAGATAATTAAGAGTTAAGAGAAAACTTGAACCGAAATCAATAAAAACCTAAAGACTAAACTCAAAATATTATAAAAAAGAGGTTTCTTTTGTAAGAAATTACGTACCCGTAATCTAACAAATAAGACAAAGCACAAATTCACAAGTTATGCACTTTGTTTTTTCTTTAACATCTAAATTATAAACTTTATCTGTGAACATATATATAAACTTAGAAGCGAAACTTAAAGAGGACAGTAAGTTCTAAATTCAGACATAAGAAGGGGTCGTTAAGAAGATAAAAACATGAAGACACGTTAAACACAGACCTGCTTGGTTTTGCAAAGCAACAAAGAAAGATCAAAGATGGATGACAAAAAGAAACAAACAAGAAATTTACCAGAAGAGAGAATATAGAGAATAAAATCTTGAAAATTCGTCGTCTTCTTCGAAAAAAGTCGATGAACTTTGTCTAAGAATTAATTTTCCTAATTTTATTGGTCTGAGATATATGTATTAGTTCTTCGCGGGTTTAATAATAAAAACGATTTAGAAAAAATAATTAAAAAAAGATAAGCTGTAATCAAATGTGACGCGTTGCACGGGATTTGCGTGAGGAGTTGACTTTTAAAGACGCTCGTGGAAGGAGGGTGACTCTCACGAAGCAGCCAGACTGGAAGACGGTGTAGTCCACGCGCTCTATTGTCCACGTGGTGATTTACGAGTGGTGATTCGTGGCTAATTAAGAGGAATTAAAAAATAATATTTTCGTGAATGACATTAATGCCCTTTTTGAATTATAGATGGGTCTTAGGTGAAGTGGAGAGGACGAAAGCATAGGTCGTTGATACAATAAAAAGAAAGAAAGAGTGTGTGAATCGTGAATGTGCGATTGGTAAGTTTGAATATTGTGTTTTAGCAAAATGGTTAACACTTATTTTGGCAATTAGAGAAAATGGGGTCGAAACAAAAAAAAGAAGTCAGAGATATTCTCAAGTTGGGGTTGTTTTATTTCTAGGATTAAGTGGAAGAGTATGGCTGTAAATAGTAACATGGTTTTTGAGGAATTTTTGAGGAATTCTTGAGGAATTTATGAGGAATTGTTGATGTTTCAAAGTTTATTTTTGTTTTTAAATTGTTTAATAAATTAATCAATTTTCTTATTTATTTAAACTAAATAATTATTAAAACTATTATATCTCTACTTCCACTAAAAGTTGTTAATAAGAAAAATCATAAACTAGCAAAATAAAATATTTTTTATTTTAGAAGTAACAATTACTAGTTTTTTATTAGCTTATGCTTTTAGTTTTTATTAGCTAAACTAATATTATTTTATTAGCTTATGCTTTTATATGATATTTATATTTGATAAAAAGATTAAGTGTGTTACATTCTTAATATTTTACAAGTTGGAGCTTTTTCCAAATTAAGTTATTATCTTATGTTTAATAAATTATTAAATTATATAAAATTTCAAGTTTAATATTTCATTTGTTTTTTATTTGGTCTTGTTGACACAATAAAATTATGTAATTTATAATTTTATATGTTTTTTTGATTAATTTATTTATTTTAAAAGTTCAGCCAGATTTAGCCGTTACCATTTGAACTTTAAGATATTCAACTAGATTCCGCAAAAAACCATCATTAAATTCAGCCAGATTCAACAATTCAGCTACATTCAGCCGGATTCCGCAGTTACCATTTACACCTTATATGATGAGAACCAATAATCTTACTAGAAATATTTCACTTATTTACTCAGTTAAAAGGCATATAACTATCATTCTCCGAATCACCAAGCAAATTTATAATTATAAAGGATACAAGTCAGCTGCGAGCCTCATCAAGAACAATAAATCGTACCTGCAGAACAATTCATGGTATCAGTTTTACATAACTGATCGAAATCTTAATCAATTCATGGTTAGACAGAGACGAGTAAGTGATAACTAACCACTTGAAACCAACACCTCTCATCGCCATGAAACAAACGAGAAATGTCTAAAAAGGGAAGTTAAAGAGTAGTTTAGTTGTACTGAAGTATATGTTGTGGTGCAGAGAACCAACTACTCTTGTAGTGAAGAGAACGGACTGTCAATTCATCTATATAAAACGGACTATCAATTTATTTTATTAAGTATTTTAGCACTATGGTTAACATTTATTTTGGCAATTAGAGAAAATAGGGTCGAAACAAAAAAGAAGTCAGAGATATTCTCAAGTTAGGGTTGTTTTATTTCTAGGATTAAGTGGAAGAGTATTTTTTTGCTTTGCTTTCTAAATGCTCTGTTTTTGCTTAAATTTTTTCTGCTTTTACTTGCCCAGTTTGTTGTAACAATTTTAAAATATAAAAAATTGTTGCTCTTTTCATACATGGATATTAAATAGGGTGAATTAAATATTTATACACGGTCGACCAAAAAATTAGATTTCAGAACATGATAATTTCAAAATTAAGTAATTATGAAAGACAAAGAAACTACAAACCAAAAATATCATTCTTATGTTGATTTATTACAAAAGTGCCATTGAATTAAAAATTGTTTTATTAATTATTTCAGTTTCTCATCGATACTGTTCACTTAGACGTCGATGACACTGTTCATTTCGAAGTTGATGATACTGTTTATCGTAGGATATTGTAAAACATTTGTGATTTGTGTAGATAACTATTTTATTACCTGATAAATAATATAGTATCGTGATAAGTTAAATGATTATCTATTGGTTTAACACGATAACAAAATATATATCAATAAGTTTATAAATATATCGTGTTAAAACATATTGTATCTCGATAACTTTATAATTGATATGATAAAGTTTATATTATCATAGAAAATATTTATGGTAAGATAGTAGATATATAGATAATATTTATATTAACGTGTATAACGATGTTAACATGATAACAATAAAAGTAACAAGTGTTACTCTAGTTCTGGTCACCGACGAAGCAAACCCAGAAAACAACATAATTAAGTTTTTTGGCCGCCACTGTCAAATCTTCAATCATCACAGCTCCTCCGTTCCTATCTTCGTCTCAACTCACCACTCCATTTGATCCAACAATAATTGATAACGAGGTTAACGTAATAACGATGAAAATAACTAGCAATAAAAAATAACAAGTTTTGTTGTAGATCTGCTCACCGATAAGATAGACGGAAAAGACGGCGACGATTATAAAACTCTTAAGCCATCTCACCTTCACCGACGCCATCACCATAAAATCCCTTTAGCTTTTCGCACCTCTTCGACGTTATCTCAATCCACGATTTTATTCACATCACCTTCTTTTTTTCCCAAACTCACCACCACCGATAATATAATCATCATCACTATCGTCGTAAATACCATCTCCACCATCATTAAGAACCCAATAGTTTAAATAGGAATAAGCACCACTTACAATCACCACCGCAGCGGCCGTCACTGAATCGGAATAGAAACCACCACAAAATCAAATCGACTATGCATCTTTTAAACACACAAGTTTGTCTCCTCTCTTCCTCCTACATCATCACCACCGTCTTCTACTCTTTTGTTGTCATCACCATCAAGTTCTACAATTTTATTTTAGAACGATTTATTGAAAATTGTTTGTATTTGGCTGTTAGAATTTTTGTTCATGTCAATTTTGATGAACACTTCGAAAGAGAATGGGGAAAGGAGAGAGAAAAGCTGAAAAATTAAATAATTTTTTTTTTTAAATGAGGACAACAACGTAAAATCCTTTACACAACATCTGACAAAACAGTGTTCATTTGTGTCAGTTAATTTTTGAGTCTTCCATGGGTACAGATCGATAATACCCTATTAAATAGCCAGCTCTTAGAACTTATACAATATACGACGGCCATTTATATGATCAGATTAGAAGAAAAAAACATATTTTCTAGGTTGCATGGAATCAGAAGCGGGTACGCAGAAGCGAATCATTTGGAAACGTTGAAACGATTTTTTTAGAACTTTTAGGAAGTGGATACGTGTTGGAAGCGTATATAGAAATTAATATATATATACATATATAATAAAACATTAAGCATTATATAATATTAAAACATATAATTAACCACGTAAATCTAATACATAAATTTTAAATACTTCAACTACAAATAAAAACCAAATAGTTTATTTTTACAATTAATAAAAATAAAATAGTTCAAAGTCAAAATTTTAGATCACTATCTTCACTCTCATTTTCTTAATTCCATCTAATAAATTAGTTTCAAATTCTATTTTATCGATAACACATCATCAAATTCAAGTTTCTCAAAGTTTATTTAAGTCAATTATTCATTCCAACATTTTCCAAATAAATAATTTATGTCGTGGTTATTTTGTTAAGCATGATCTTTTAAAAATAAAATAAAAAACTTAGTATGCAAAAATTTAAATTTTAAATTAGTTTTGGTTTCTTTTAATCTCTACAATAATTATTTGAGAAGTAGAAACGCACCATATTGAAAGTTAGGGCATTGGAGGCCTGTGGTTAAAAGTTAGAATGATTTGTCCTAAACACCCTTAATGAATTGTTCTTCTCGAAATTTCTCCTTCTTCGTAATTAGGGGTATATAAGTCTAATCGTGTGTTGATCTCTATTATAATGTCCTAAACACCCTTAATTCGAAAATTTTTGTTCTTAGTTGTTAAGGGTATATAAGTCTAATCGTGTTTTGTGATGATTAGTCTTAATCACCCTTAATTTTTTTTATTTTATAGTATGATCGCTGGGGATATGGAGGTCATAATATCTCGACTTTAATGATTATGGAATCTTAGCTTAAATTTATTTGTTAATTTTTTGGATAATTCTATAATTTAGCAGTTAAAATTCGTTTTTGTTAGTTTTCTGATTTTGTTTCTAATTAAAAAGTAAAATTTCTTAAGATAATGATTGGTGTTTGCCCTAATCTTAAAGCTATATATATTGTTGATCGGCCAGAGGATTAGGTATTATTTTTCTGTGGCCATTAGATAGTTTTCACCGTTATGGTTTTTTTATATAGCTACTACGATTCTGATGAATCGAGTTGTTTGTCATGCAAATATTGTTTTTATGGACCTTTAAAGGTCGTGTGCATATTGTTTGTGTTGTTTGTTTTATTTTTTTGCATTATTCGATGATTTATTGTTTTGCTAATTTGTTGTTTTTGGTGTGTGTTTCAGTTTTGTATAACGTGGGAGGTTCCATCGACAAAGCTTTCTGACGAAGGTGGTGTTGACGAGCAAAGAGCGAGGTTTGGGGAGGTACTTCTATAGTTTTAATTTG